TATATACAAGACCATATGAATATCAAAAACATTGCTATGTCATTTTTTTTCTTAATGAAATAAATGCATGATTTATATAATTTATATAGTTCATAAGAATGGGACCAAAAAAGAAGTGAGTTCGGAACATTGTATTGTTAATCTTCCAATCTAAAAGCATGAATTGCCAGAGACGCGCTATCCAATCATTTAAATTGTAAAGAACTTGAAATAATTATCTTCAGATTTTCTAATTAAATTTTAATTTACCTTGTTGATAAGTTTTAGCAGATTCTCAGGTGTAGAACTGCTGGGAATCCCATACTGAAGAAATCCCTGGAAGAAAAAATCATTCAAATATTTAATTAAGTACTTTAATAATCCCGAAGTGTAAAAATTAATAGATAAAAGAAAAGTAGCAGGAACAGTGTTAAAGTCCATATACATGCATGACAGAAGCATTGTACATGTTGATCCAGAAAGCCAGCTTTTGTTGATGACTCAAGAATCTTAAGTCTACCTTCTGAAGACCATTCATCAACCCCCTGAGTTTTTCAAAATACATAGAGAAAAATACACAGATTTTATCATTAATGAGTATATATCTATATATATATAACCCCCTATGGAATGAAAATATTTCAAAAGTGGAGGTAAATTAATTAACAGTTAGCTTGATTCTTACTTTAACTTCTGAAATAAAGGAACTGAGCTCGAATCTTGAATGCATTTGGGATCCATACAGCTTGATGTGAATCTAACCAAGTTTTTATACGGCCCAATATCCCTTGTTATAGATTCTTTAGAATCAAAAACGCCATAGGGATCTTGCTGTCTTGAGTCTTTCTGAAACACGAGGCTTGTTTTCAAATTTAAGCTAGTCTCAGAACGAAAACTTTGAGAAAAGTTTGTAGACCGGGTTATCGGCCCTGATTTCTCTAATTCCATTGTTCTTGATGTTCGAAGTAGCCTTACGAAAATTAAGATCAAACACTTCATGATGTTCTCAGATAACTTGTTAGGTGGCCACTTGTGAATGCTTTGTTCTTCTGAATGGATTGGAGTAGACATGACATTTTGTAGGATGTCTGAAGGGATGTCGAGGTTTCGGTCTCTCTGAATTGGCATCGACAGTCAGAATCTTAGAATCAGATAGTAGAAAAGTAAAGGAATTATTTTTAGTTAAATACGTGAAATTTTCATAAATAGGTGACAATGAGATTGAACGAAATTATGTGGTCGTACCCTGGGGGTTGGAGTTGGATGCCTTATGTTTCGAAATGGCGAGGCAGGTTTAAGCATCTCACTTCTCTTGGAAACCTTGTCACATAATATTCCAATTTCGTCGAGAAAATTATTTTCCTTGTGATCGGATAATCCTTTTGGATTTGTCCCTTTCTCATTTTTTCTGAAGTCGCTGAGATTATAATCTCCGTTTATAGCCTTGCTAATAAAATGTAGCCCCTTAGCCTGAAACATGGTTTTCTCATTGGAACGACGTCTGCTCGTGTTTCCACTGCTATTTTTTGGAGTTTCATGCTGCTGCCGCTGCATGGAATTTGTTTCCCTTTCATTTTTCACCTCGGACTGAAGCTGGCTGATTTGGCTTTCCAATCGTGCTATCTCCTTTTCAACCATAGCTAGCTCAGCCAGTAGCTCTTTCATCTGTATATGAAATTGAATGAAGTATTTAAGGAGCATATTCCAGGTTAATTTCTTCAAGAATTGAATTAAAGTTAAAATTGAATCAGTTGCATAACAACCAATGCCTGAGAGATTGCTATATTGCTGAGATTTCTTAATAGATGGTAATACATAGATATAAAAATAAAAGCAACTCGTGATTATAAACTATAGATTTCTTATTTTTGTACATGCAAAGATTATGCTGGACTATCAAATGACTCTGAATATAAGTATCCATTAAACAATTTCAAGCAATTGTGGTTGCTAATGATCTACTTAGGCCCTATTTGATCAACATCCTTAAAAATATACATTCTTTCAATACTCATTTTCAATCACACAATTTTCAATAAAATAATAGTGCACGCAAATCCAAATCTATTCTTTCTTTTTTAACCACATATTTTCCATCAGATCACTATTTAAAGTGGATTAATCTACTTGTACATAATGTGAGTGGGGGTGGGGCCCACGATACTGTAGCATGGGACCCACCTCACTCACATTATATTATCCTTTATGTCAACCCCAATGTGCCCTTAGCATTTCCCATTTAAAATAAATTCTTTCTTTATAGTGTGCATCAAACATGGGCTTACTTTCAATCTTTCAGTAAACTTAGCAATGAAATTAGAAGCAAAAGAAAAAGAAGAAATTCATGCATGTATGAAACTTACTTTCGGTGGAAGATAGTTTGGGATGCTGAGAGAACCATCCTGTCGAGTTTGAAGTTCTTGGAGAAATTCGTGCACCATTTGTTCATGAGCCAGCATTTTGTGAAGCGCCGAAACCTCAATTGGGTAAACATTTTACCTTTCAACTTAGTATCACTTTTTGTCAAAAAATTGAGACAATATCACCAATGGAAAACTTGTAAACCCTTGTTGTAGTCGTTAAGAATTTATCATAGTTGAATAAACTCTCGTTTGACACGCATTTTTTCAAAACTTATCATAATTGAATAAACTCCCGTTTGACGCACATTCTTTCAAAACTCATTTTCAACCACACATTCTTCAATAAAATATTATTTTTCATCACATCAATAATTTTTCCTTACTTTTTAATTACACATTTCCCATCATATCACTATTCAAAAATCAATTCTTCCCCCAAAAATTCCTCCCAAACAAACTCTT